GGTGGGGGTGGTTCAAGTATAAGAGAAACAGTTAAGAAACTCTAAAGCAGTATATAGCACAGTGTCCTGGTTTTGCTTCACACACAGTGATACACAGGCCCCCTAATGCTCTGGTAATTTTCAGTTAAAGAGCAAAGTTACTGAAAAATGTAGAGTGGACATGCAGAGTACTTTATGATCACTTCACTAAGAAGAAAAAATCTTGAAGAACTAGTTAGTACATATACTTTATACTTTTCTCTTCTTTAAGTATGCACCTGATTGAATCCCAGAAAATATTTTCTAGGATGGTGACATCACTGAGTTTTCAGCTACTTCATTTAAGCAATAATTGAAATAATGTTCCTACAAATGCAACATTTTATCTAGTCACCATATAAATAAATGATATGCAGTAAAAATCAGTTACTCCACAGTCACACTCCAGGTAAGAGTGTTTTGGTACTTTGGCAGAGGGATGACCTGCTTAGAAATTTAAGTCAGATGTAAACATTTTTGCGACTAATTTACAGATTCTTAATGAGAAGATAGCCTTTAAATTAACTAGTTATAGCTAGGAGAAAAAAAAATAGAGAGAAAAAAAGGAAAAAAAAAACATTTTTTAATATCTATGTTACTCTTCCATCAGAATCAGAACAACATTATGCCTCTTCAATTAGTAAACACAGTTTTGATAAGACCATCAAAATAAAATTAAAAACCCAACAACCCCCACTTTTCATACTGTTGTTGCTAACCTTTCTGACAAACAAGTCTACCACAAGTGCTTTCCACTGCTAGAATTTGGGTTTTCTAATCGACTTTTAAAATGATGTTGCAAAAAAGCACAAGAAACTTCACTAAAAGCTCTGTAGAATACGAAACAACTAATCAGAGGCCAACTTAGTGAGTATCTGACTAAAGACCTTTATAGTTTCAGGTGATCTTAACATCATCTTTTCCCAACTGCTGTTTAAATCAGACATTCCACACTGAACCTTAAGAGGCTGCTAACAACATCAAGAAACCCCTTTCTACATATTTATATGATTTAAAAAAAAAAAAAAGCTACTAAGAGACAAAGTAGCTATTTACTCAATGACCTAGCTGATCTGTAGATGACAAGTACGCAGTTTCCAGCTACATTAGCTGAAGAAGTAGGTTTAACTACCAGAGGCCTACATACATACATGGGTATATGACTCAGAAGTCCGTAACATTGTCATCTGTATTCTGCAAAGTCTTAACATGACATTATGAAGAACAGGACTTGAGAGGAGCTTTCATTTTCCCTGAAAGACTATAAATTGTCAATCTGAAGCGCTATCAGTCATACATACAACATGTCTGAGAAAAGAGTATCTAACCTCTTTCGAAACCCTTCCAACTATGCATGAATACAGACACCAGTTTTACCCTTTCCCAGTGTTCTGCAGCCTTCCCTATCTTCTGTGAGCCTTAAAAAGATTGTCACTGGTAGTTTTCTGATTGGGTCTTGGATCTACTTCTAAAGAATTAGAAATTCTGTGTTCAGAGGGCAGCCACCTGCTTTCCCCATCCTAAGAGAAAGCTTTAGTCTTGCACCTCAAGACATAGATGTTCTTATGAAAATAAATCAAAGACTTTTAGTTTGAAGAATCTCTGAAACTAAACACACCTACTCTGGCTATTAGTGAAACGTGGAAGAGACAGATAATCATTTATGCCAAAGGTGCTGAACAGGGTTTGAGGGGGGAACTGTTTAACAAGATCTGCTCAGAAAAAAAATGGAAGTAGCTCACGATAATTTACACAGTAAGTCATGTATCATTCTGAAAGATTCCAGAAGCTCAGTCTGGGATAAAATATAGCAGTATAGAGGATCATCAGACATCTTTTTTAGTAACAGAGAACTCAGTGTCTGCTGTCTCTTTTGGTACAAAAGACAACACAGCATAAATGAGTAACTTTAAAAATGCATGTCTGAGGTTTCTTTTAAGGTGTTTCAATAAGGACCTATTGAAATAACAATTGACATACTCAAAGAAGAATCCAGAGTACTTCAGGAAGGGCTTATTCACATAAAAGAATAAAAATGAATATGTAACTTCAGTTAAAAGAAAGAAAATGGCTTTCTGATTTGGAAAATGTCTGTTCTCAGGTAATGTAAGGGATTCTGAACATAACTGAACTTATACTTGGTCACACAGTGTTCAATATACTCTAATGGAAAAATACAAAGCAGCATTATGAGTTCTAAAATAGCCTGAGGAAAACAGGTAATTAGGGAAGATCATTAACAAAACAAAATTTAAGAACCTCTCTGCTGTAAACTTTAATCGGTGAAAATCATCCATTTATTCTGTTTTTTCTTATAGCACATTCAGATAATGAAAACCAGCAGCTTTATTTCCAGTAAAATGCTACGTAAAATGCATTTTCTACATTACTTACCTGTTTTCATCTCTAACAAGCGCTTTTTCTTTTGTTGCCTCTCTTGTTTTTCTTTTTCTGCCTTCTCCTTAGCTATTTTAGCACGTCTCTGTTTTTCTTCTGCTTCCCTTCTTCTCATGTTCTCCTTTACTGCTTGCTACAAAAAAAGGAGTGCCATTAAAACTGAAGTCAGCAAAAAAAAAGATTAACCTTAAAAACAAAGAAAAAAGCTTTAAAATAACACCTCCTAACTAACCTTAATTTATCAAGCCAAACAAATATTTTACATTTCATTTTTAGTACGTTTTATTCAGAAGAGTAAGCAAATTCAGAATAAATACATTAAAAGCTTACTAAATGCCCCCAAATGGGGATTACAAATTTAGCAAGAAATACATCCTAATACACACATTAATGTAGGAAGAACTCAAAATATCTAAACCACTTGTTTTTACAAAACTCTAAGTATGTTACTATTTGTATTTCTAAAATAGTTTCAACATCTATTCTTTCTCATGCTGCCACTATACCAAGAAAAACAAGGCTGTTTGGGTGACTTAGCTGTGCATTTTTCTTATTCTTATCCACATATGAATTAATTCACTGGGTTTATAAATTCTTGTCTTCTGGTTAATAGCCGTACAACACTGTTTATTTTGAATTATAAATAAGCACTCCAAAGCTTCCAGTGAAGCCAAAGCGGAACTGAGTTTCAGTGTTTTTAAGTCATTATTTTGCATATTCAGACATTAAGCAAAAAAAACATGTCATGTTCAATATTTTTTTTAACAAAGCTATTTTAAGATTACTTTTTAATCATTTTAATGTTAGCTATGTACACTGGTAAATTCTCAGTGCTCTACTGTGGCTTGCTTTAAATGTAAGGTGCCAAGAAGTTATTCTTCATTGCAGAAAGTTTCTCTTCAGAATGCAGTTACACAAAATCTAATCTTTCACAATAGATCAAAGTATCCCCTCCTACAAAATGGCTAACACCTTTACATGGTCTGAGGCAGAGGCTGCACATTTGCAGGGATAATTAATGTCTCATGTTGTTTTAAGTGGGAAGATGTCCAGCTTGCACTCAGAAAAAAAAAGTAAGAATAGACTGAAGAGGACTATAAAGCACAAATGAATGTGGATTACAGCAATATTTGCACAGGTACTATTTGTAGCATCACTACAATAGATAGTGACCAAAGGAAGGAAAAAAAAAAAACCAAGTATAAATCTTCTGAAGAAATACCTGGTTTTGATAACTGAAAAAGAATAAGTTTTCAATCATGAAAAATTACAATGAAGTGGACTTTTTAGACAAAGCAGAACTGTACTTCCACAGTGTCTTCTTCAGAGTCACTTCTGCCAAGTTTCTTGATACTGAAGGGGGAGGGTAGAAGCCTACTACAAAATACTAAAATTCTGGTTTGAATTAATTTTAACAGATTATTTGCTGATTTCCAGACTGGACTTTCTGTAGATAAACTGTTGGGCAAAACTCAAATGGGACACGAGCCCAAATACAATTTTGGCAAAAATTACACACTTTCGTAACAGATGGACCAAGGAAATTTGTACTTTGCATCTAGTTTTTCCCCCAGAATAATACCAGTAGGACTCACCCTCAGACTGCAGTCATCCAAATGCAGGTGTCTATTCCTTTCTAATCACACTGATCAACTGGGCTTGTTTTAGCAGCTCACACCTTCATATTCAGTGCAAATTGGATGCTTTGGAATATCACACCTTGCCTCCAGCCTTTCTCTAGCAGGACACTGGTCTTCCATAAGTTCTGTGGCATAACTTAAAATTTCAGGCTGATGATGTTTTGGATACCATTTGAGACACCTCTCCATGATACTAGGCACTTCTATTGTTAGGTCTCCTTTAAGACATTAGGCAGACAACTCTCCAAACTCCAGTAACTGTATTGAGTATGCATCTCCCTTAACTAGAACAGGAGATTAGACACTCAAGCTCACATACAGATGCCAAAGTTTAGATGTTTATGCCATAGAGTCAAATCCTATCCTACGTGTTCTGTGCATTTTCAACACAAAACACAGGTGTCTAAAGTTCTGTAAAATGTTTATATCAAGACTTGCCACAAACTTGATGGAGACTAACACATACTTGTCTCTCACACTGTTTGCATTTCAAAGATCAAATGTCTTAACACTTCCAAAAGGTCTAAAAAGTTAGACATGCTCTGATCACATCTGCTATGTACAAGCAGCATTGCATTCATCTTAGGGCACAGTATGAAGTTAATAAGAATCTTTCATAAGAATTAACAAAGAATATGCCTTTTGCATACCGTGCCAAGGCCTACAGTTTCTGAGATGGAGGCATTCTTGGGTTCTCTTTTGTGCTTTCCAGGATCACTTCTGATTTCTATTCAACTATTTGCATTATATATAAAAGAAAAATACTCCAGAGCCTAGGGAACAAACTCTTACTTGGTTCTACTTCTGCTTATTTAAGTCACATTTCTGCTGCAGAGCAATGTAGTGTTGATAGGAGCAAGGGGTTTCTACAGTCCCATGATTAGTGTACTGTCTTGGACATAACAATTGTTGACTCAAGGCCTCTTCCCTCCCTCTCCTACAACTGTAGGAAAATTCTAACCATTAGACAAACACAAGAAGAAGAAATACTATAATTGCTTCATGTTATTTCAGAAAGCTATCCTTCCAAGGAAGGGAATGAGCTTGTGAGCAGTACCTCTGATAGTATGAAAACACAGAAAGAGTTCATTATACTCAGACCATTGTTGTTCAACCTATTCATCAATGACTTAGGTGAAGGAACAGAGTGCCTCCTCAGCAGATTTGCTGATGATCCTAAACTGGGAGGAGCATCAGATACGCCAGACGGCTGCGCTGCCATTCAGAGGGACCCCGACAGGCTGGAGAGATGGGCAGAGCGGAACCTCATGAGGTTCAACAAGGGAAAGTGCAGGGTCTTGCATATGGGAAGGAATAAACCCCTGCACCAGTACAGGTTGGGGGCTGACCTCCTGGAAAACAGCCCTTCGGAGAAGGACCTGGAAGTCCTAGTGGACAATAAGTTAAATACGAGCCAGCAGTGTGCTCTGTGGCCAGGAAGGCCAACAGTGTCCCGGGTTGTACTAGGCAGAGTGTTGCCAGCAGGCCAAGGGAGGTGATCCTGCCCCTCTACTCAGCCCTGGTGAGGCCCTATCTGGAGTACTATGTCCAGTTCTGGGCTCCCCAGTACAGGAAGGACATGGAACTCCTGGAGTGTGTCCAGCGAAGGGCGACTATGATGATTAAAGGACTGGAGCATCTTTCATGAGGAAAGGCTGAGGGAGCTGGGCTTGTTAAGCCTGGAGAAAAGACGACTCAGAGGGGATCTGATCAGTGTTTTTAAGTATCCAAAGGGAGAGTGTCTAGAGGACGGGGCCAGACTCTTCTCATTGGCACCCAACAACAGAATGAGAGACAATGGGCATAAACTGCAGCATAGGAAGTTCCTGAACTTCCTGAAGTTTCCTGAACATAAGGAAAAACTTTACTGTGAGGGTGACTGAACACTGGAACAGGCTGCCCAGAGAGGTTGTGGAATCTCCTGGAGATATTGAAAAACCATCTGGACCAAATCCTGGTTCATGTGCTCTAGGTGTCCCTGCTTGAACAGGGTGGTTGGACTAGATGTCCCTTCCAACCTCAACCATTCTGTGAGTCTGAGGTTAATGGAGATTTCTGATACCTAAGATGTTCCCCTGACTGTACCAGGAATTTAGCTTTGGGAGTTAAAGCATTGAAGATAAGGTGCTTCACCCATTTTTTAGATCTGGCCAACTAACTGCTCTAAATTTTGTGATCACAGAGTGTGAAAAACAGCTGTCATAGCTGCCTAACGACACTGAAGTACAAAGTGCAGTCCAAAGTTCGTTATGAATCTATCTCTATGACTCTAGATTTAAAGATTTTTTTTTTACAGTTTTAAAGATTTTTTTTATTAATTAAGAACACAAAGCATTTTAAGTAGGTAAGTACTGTATGAAAATTATCAACTTTGCTTGACAACAAGGATGGCTGAACTTTACTTTCCCACATTACTGGTGACAAGTAGTCTTTCAGTTTTGGACTTTTTAAGAATCCAATGATTTTTCATCACGAAATTTAAAAGTCTTGAGATAAGTTTTCTATGATGCCAACCACCTTCAGTTTCTGTCAGTAATCAAGACCAATGGTAAACAGTTCTGAAAATCAGACCTCAGATGTCTCATGCTAGGCATTTCAAAAATCTTTTCAAAAAAGTCTCAAAACTGAGCAGCTACTCAATATTTTGTTCAGTGTCATTGAATGATAAAGGATTTCATGCCTTATCTACATACCTTTTTCATATAGCCTTCAAACTGTGCTCTGCAAGACAGAATTATTAATTTTCCTCAAGGTTTCTTCTATCATGCTCATCAATAATATCTAACTGTTTTGAAGCATTAATTAATCTATCTTTATAACAGTGCTGTGAAACAGTGGTTAGTATCAGTGCTAACTTTAAAGACACAAAAAGAAATATGGGGAAATTAAGGTAAAGCATAATTACTTCTTTGAGTCTCCAATTCAAGATGAACCTAAGCATTTAGAATTCTTGTTCTATAGCATTTAAATGGGAACTGTGGTTTAAAAATCAGAAATTAAAGCCATACAACTATTTCATAATATTTAGCAATTTTTAAACCAGACTCGAGTTTCAAATTAGGCACCAATCAAGTTAGGAAAACTTAATCAATGCCCATGTTGAAAAATCTGGCATATGTAACTTGCTAAGCAAAATTATCCTGATTGAAGACTCTGCCTTCTAGGGATTTAGCTGTTAAACTCTGAAGTAGCAGAGGCTTGGTAATCTTTGCATGTTCCAATATGTTTGCTAAATATGGGTTCCATTTTAAGTCATTTCCTCAAAATAGATGGACACAGGAATTTCAAACCCTTTCCCAATATCTACGACAGCACTGTTTTTCCCTATCTACACCCTCGGACATGTCTGAAATAATTTAAACAAACAAAAACAAAAAACCCACAACCGAAGAAAACTAAACAAGATTGGGAAACATGCAAGCAACTTGAATAAGTGTGTTGTAATGATAAGTGTTAGGCTGCAATGAGGAGTAGATGGTAAAATGACTAACTGAATCTTTCTACAGATCTATAGGCATGAGTTGGATAACTGCTCCAGATTTTGTCACAAAGCTCATGCTCAGATAACATTCCAGCAGGTGTATAGCCAGGAAGTTAAGCTATGCAATCATGGGTAGCCAGATGTGACACAAGTCAACTTTTCCAAGTTATCCAAATTAATAAATTCATACAAAATTGGGGACCTGAATTTTCTTCTTCCATTTCTTCATTGAGAAAGAGTTGCTTACCAGTCAAGTGTTCAGAGTCCAAGAGAAAAAAATATTTTTTGCAAAGAAAGCTTAAAAAAACAACTGAAAACCACAACCTCCACACAAAATTAACAACCTCTCCCTGCTCCCCTAACTTTTCCAGTCTGAATGTAGTTATAAATCATTAAGATAACAATCCTGACTAATCCTAAATAAGAGTCCTATAAAAGTAATTTGAACTTATACTGCCATTAACTTTACTGAAATTGTTTGGTTATTTTAAATTGAGGGGTGTCTTGAGTATATGATGATATATTCTGAAGTATATCAAGTTTATCATCCTTCTCCCAGAAGAACTACATTGACAATGGTAAAAGAACCTGCAACATTTTGGAGAATATCTGATTATCCTAAAATTTGCAAGAAGACTGTTTATGGTAATATATAATAAGCTCCAAACATATAAAGAAATACTCTGTTGAGAAATTTCTACTTCACTTTTCAGAAAGGTCTTTTGTTAAAACTCTTAAATCCCATTTCAGCAGAATCTAAAAATAAAAAATCCATTACCCCCCCCGCCCCCCTCACACCCCATTATAAAATTTGTAAGCATAATGAAAATGCATTGGGACTCAAAAAATACCTAAAGAAAAATAAAACTAGATTTCCAAAATAGCTCAAGCTTTTATGATGAGCTAGTATGTGTAGCATGTGCAAACGTTTGTATACATAATAGAGATGCTGCCCTGTGATATAAAGACAGAGCTAACTTCCCCATCTATGACTATTTTAGATGACTCTAAGGCTAACTCACAATGAGTCTGAATTATGGTCATAACTATGTTCTGAGCTCGGTACAACAGGAGCTACTCAACAATAACCTGGATCAGCCCAATGTCCGTTTCTAAAATATAATTTAAATATTTTAAATAATAATAAAATAATAATTCTTAGCCCGCCCCCCCCTCGATCATAATTTTCCCTTTTTAAAGGGAAAAGAAAAAAGTAAGCATTTAAAATGCATAAAACCTAAAATCCTAGACAATCTATTATCATAAAAATTAAAGGTCCTTAGAAACAGACCAAGTTTGAGGAAAATATGCTACTTTTTTAAGCCAGGATAAAGAGCTCTGAATTTCCACAGCAGGGATTCTGCTTACAGATGCAAACCTTGACACTGATCAAGTGCTGCAGGCAAATGAAAAATTAAACAAAATAAAATCTTGGGTCTGGATTTTGCATGGGAAGAGTGTGCATTATAAATACAGAATAATTGTTAGAATATTTATTTTAAGTAAATAACAAGCACCCTTTAAAAACAAATAATGTAGTTGTATTTAAAAAAGGTAGAGTTTCAAGTTTTTCACCTTCAGGCTATACATGCATATAAGAGGCTTAGTTTTAAATTACATTCATTGTTATTAGAAATCTCTAATTCTTCCAGAAAGAAATAATCCACAAATAATAATTAAAATCGTCATTACCCTTAGGAAATCCTAAGAATTTAGGATGTGCAAAGTAAAATTTCTGATATAAGTATACCATTTGAGAAGGAGAAAAGTTATTGTTAATTTGTTCAGTAACTGAAAAATTACAAATATAATTTCTAAGAAACATCAGACATAAAATAAACAGACTGTACCATGAACATTGTCCTGAAGTTGTTTAAGTCCATTAAAAACTCCTCCACCGAAACTTTCTTCAGATCAATGGCATAATATTTCATCACATTCTGATAGAGTTTTTCCATGTTCTCATGCATTCGTGAAAGTTTCTGAAAATCTTCTTTGGCATGAACTAGAAAGCTGTACACTGCCGTTAAGGCTGCAAGAATGATCAGCGAACCCAGTCAAACCCACAGTTTTTACTTAACACTGATCTGTATTTTGTACACATTTTTCATTTGCATCAAATGAAGTATCAAAAGGATTCCTTCCATGCCATATATGCTTCCTTCTATTTATTATGTACATTAGGCCTGTTAATAAATCAGAGTGCTTTAATAAAATTTTCTCAGCCACTTTAAATTTAAAGATTATCCATTAACATATAATTTTGTATGAAATGAAATGTATGGGACTAATCTAACTTCAAACACCTATGTAGTTCATTTAGCATTGTCATCCCCTTATTGAAAATAAAGGTATAGGTACATAAATTACAATTTAAATTGAATTTAGGTACAGTTACCAATAGCTGAACACTTTAATATGTCAAGAAATAGTATAGTTCCTGCTAAAATTAGAGTAAAAATAAAAATAATAATAAATAGCATTAAAAGTAAAAATCATGAAAGGTCAAAACTTCATCTTGGCAGCATTTTGGTTTTTTTTAATGCTGTCGTAGCAACAGCAATGCATTCATTTCTGTTCCTAATGGCTGCATCAGGTATTTATGCTTTTTCCAAGGCTATTTGCAATGTTGATAAAACTTAATTAAATTAGAGGTGAAAACAATAGAACTACTTCTACAAGAGACAGACAATTTATAAACAGCACCAAAATACTGCATAACATAAATGAAATAAAACTCCTATATTCATTCAAGGCTTTTGATAATATAGTTTGTCAAATAGGCTCAAAGAAGAAATATTCTGTGTAGTCATTTCCTTATGAAGGACAACTTCATAAAGTGTTTACTTTAATGAAATGGCAGGTAAACAAATATTTATGTTTATTTTGCTGCTGCAGAAAAAACAACAAAAACCAAGAAATGGCAATTTTACATTTACTTTAAATTGCCCACCCCAACTATCGCAAAAGAGAATTTACTGTACTTGTATACTTTATATTACACTATGGTCACTTTATTTTATGAAGCACAGGATTTTTAATCAAGTGTATTAAAATCTAGACAAATAGAATTTTTGTCCACCATGCTGTTTTAAATATACAGTAACAATTTAGTGCTGGGTGACTGGTTTCACTCTTCAGGTTTTTTACAATGCACTATTCTTTTAGTTTTGTTTAGAGCCTGAATCCCATTTGAACTTCACTATTAAATATCCTTCTGGTTTGTTAACGTTGCTTTTAAAATATGAAGGAAGCAGTTAATGGTATTCTTTTTGTGACTTAGAATCCATACCAGAAAGTCATACAATAACGTTCTCAGAGACATGCAGAAAAGGAGAGATGATGTGCTTTTACAAAATTCAAATTAGTCGCTATGATGGCTATTAGAAGGGTCTGTAAGGGCAGAACAGTGTCCACTATGACAGTCTTGTAGAAAAGGACTGACTAAAGCCTAGATTTCAATGATTTTTAATGATAATTCTTCCGTCATCCCCCCCCAACCCCTTGATTTCAGACTTTTTCTTCCTCTGACAAGGCTCCTTAGCCAGTATAAGCTTCTTTCCATGTTTCTGTTCACTTCATAACATTCAGCTTGTGAGTGGCTTCAGACTGCCTGTGCTGACTGGCTAGCAACAGCTCACAGAGAATTGATGTTGCTGGCCCACTTTTTCTTCCATATCAATTTGAATCTCTCTCCTTTACTTAGTTCCCAAGGTGCGCAAAGCTTACAGGAATCTACCCTTTAGAGTTAAGTTACTTTTAAATTATTAAGGTTGTTAAAAAGCTATTGGTGGGACAGCAAGAGAAGTCAATGAGAGGTTAGTATGTAACAGCTGCCCAAATATTAAATAAAAAAAAAGGATTACTAGAAACAAGACATGTCAAAACACAAGTTCGGACCATCAAAAGAAATGTACGTCAGCAGTTCAAAAAAACCTAAACAAACCAAAACAACAAGCAACTGTAAAAAAAAAACAAAACCAGAAAATTTAATGCTGAATTAAACTAGAAACAAGCATTTCTATATCCTGTTTATTTCTGATGCTACAATTTAGGATACTTGTTATGCATGATTCTGAGATTATTAACAGAACTTAGGGAAAACTACCTTATTTTTTGCAATTATGAGGCTGCTTATTTCCACAGAGTGGAAGCGTAAAGGAAAATTAGATAAATTTGTTTTGTTGTCACTATGTATTTTTGTTGTCACCATGTATAAATGCCATACATCAAACATTCCAGTAATTTCCTTCAGTTTTCTAGGAAGGAAAAAAACTGAGGAAAAAAAGTTAAAATTATCAATAAAATGTATGCTTCATCTTGTAAATGAAAGATATGCCAGAGTGTATTCTGAAAAGGAAATTTGGGAGGGGTGGGGAGGCGAGAGAGCCAAAATTTCTGTGATATTCTGCAAGACACAGCTAAAGTTACAGCTATGTTAACAGAGTCCCTTTAGGCTGCTTAGTTTATACCGTTAAATCTGACTCCCCCTGAATATGTGATACACAATTTTAAACTCAAAATACAGCACTCTGGAAAGATGTTTTACTATCAAGTATTTCAATGCCAGACGCAATGAATCCTTAGACTATTATTTTCCATCTGGTGCATTATGGGATATCCTAAGCTCTTGGCATTCTACTGAGACTGTGCTTCAATTTAGGTATTTTTAATAAATCCTCTTCCTTTTTTCCTTAAATATGGCTTTTGTTAGCCAGCACTAGTTAAACTGGAGACAACAGGGAATACTACTGAGTAAAGCAATCCCAACTGTAATTATTATGAACAGGTTGATATATATGCATTATCAGCTACACAATTCACTGGCTTTGGATGAATGAAGACAGAAGCACAGCAGAGCTGAACACAGGTGGGAGGAAAAGGAAATCAAGAAGTTAGGCATTTGTTAACTTTTACTGAAGTGGCTTCACTTCACGGACTGCCTTTTTGGACTCATGGGACTACAGATCATCATTCTGCTCATTAATGGAACAAGAAAGCAATGCAGGGCTGAGACAAGTAATATCTGTGGCAAAAAGTTTCTAACTGCTATATGTTTGGTCTTTCATATTCATCACAGCTCTTATCATAGTGAATTACTTGTCTGAAGTTTATACTGATTTTAATATATTGTGGTATATAAAACGCTAATATAGAACAGAGTATAAAGCCAAATAAAAGCAGACGTTACCCTAGAACAGATAATGAATTATTTTAATCTGTACCAAACATTTCCTTAAAAGACTCCACATTCACCACTTGTGATTTTTTTCACAAACTAACCTATGTATTAAATGCAGAAAGCTGAAAAAAGGAATATTATTCTGCTTAAGAATAAAAGATTAACAGGTGCATAGATGCTACATATCTTCAAAATGGAACTGCGACTGCCACTACACTAGCCAGCAACAGTCTCCATAAAAACATGGCAAACTTTGAAGACTGATGCAAAAAGACTTTGAGGTCACTTCAAACCAGCATTTCAGCAAATTATTTTCTAATAAGGAAAAAAGGTGTGAATGTTGCAGGGCTCTGTTGCAGATTTCTTACATCAAGTTCTTGGTAAAATAGTTGCAATTGTCTGAAAAATACATGTCATAGAGACCTCCTTTTATATACACATAGCAAGGTTCAACAGTAAAATTCCATATCTGAATATAACAGTTCAAGAAACACATAAAAAAGTTTAGATTTTTCAATTAGTACCTTCTGAAGAGTATTTTTCAAATCATACTTTTTCTTTGACTCACTCACTCCTACTTATCTCTGTTACAATACTAAAACAAATTGACAAGCATTTGTCAACACACAGAGCTGCTGCGCACAGTTTGTGTACCCCAGATATTACAAGCAAAACCAGTGTTAGCTGTTACACATGCCTGAAGTCCAGACAAGATATTAAAGACCTATATAAATTTATATTGTTTGTCAAAGGCCTATTTTATATACCTGTCCACACAGTGAACATCTTGACCCTTTCCCAAAAAGCAACATATATTCTTTTTCCACCTAACCAGCTCAAGTCCTGTAATCTTCCAAAGTCCTTAGGATGCAAGGACATCTTTCAGACCTCAGTTTGTTGGTGTTGCACAGAGGGAAGTTCAAACTATGAGGCTGATAAAGTAAGAGGCAGCATGTAGTCTCTTCCTTGCAGCTGAAATGGGTTTCTTTTACCTCACTTGAATCAGGCTCTGACTTGGTAAGTGCTGTTCCTTCCTTCTCTTTTCACAAGGTCAACAAATCAATTTAAATGACAAGGAAAAAGGAACAGAGAACTGATAAAAAAGAAAAAACTCTGTTCCTAGCTGAAAGGCAGCAACCAGCTCATTGTCTCTCAAGTATTAGTTCCATGAGCTTCTGTAAAAATAGCCATCAACACTACCTTTCAGTGGTAGGCTGAAACTTCTTCAAGAGTTTCTCAGCTGCTACTTAGAAAATCATGAGATGTGAGCTTGATTGATAAAGAGCACATGGACTAAATTACTTAATTAAGCTTTTAATATGCAATTTAAATACTCTCCATAAACCCACCTAATTTTTAATTTTTAACATACAAGTGTATTTTGTTCATTGTGCTTTTTATTGAACATTTCACTCGATTTAATACTCTAGATCAATATAAATTCAATATTTTTTTACTTTCCTAATTAAAGCAAACAGATCTGCAATAATAACTATAATTTCTTTGCAGATAGAATACATAAGATGACTGACAAACTAGCACAATCTAATATATAGGAGAAATATTCATAATTATAGATTTTGTCAATGAAAGAGTGCACCAACTGTGCATATATCCGACTTCCTAAAGAAACAAGAATGCTAATCAGTTCATTAGGGGCCTTTGGGTTGTGATATTTAGCGACAGACTGTAAAAGCCTGCTTGTCCATGGAGCCTAATTGTATTCAGGATGAAAAATTATTTCCAACAAAGCATCATCCTTCCTTTTTCAGATTTCCTGCTGGTTTCTTTTTATGAGCTGAATGCTTTTCAAGACATCAGCATCATTCAGCTTTCCTTGTCATATGAATAAAAGTAAAGACAGGTCCAGGCTCCATCACGCTGTGCAGGATTATCTAACCTTTACATCAAACCTTTTTTGCTTCGTAATTTATTGAGGTTCCTGTTTTTCAAAAAGTGAGCTTCTTTAATTAGTGTGTTCATAGACTTTACTAGAAACCATATGCAACTTTACTGTTTTGAAATTACTGCCTGTCTGCTGGGAGAGATAGTAGGTGAACAGTTTACTGTTCAAAATATTGTATTTGGATAGTCTAATACAATATAATATGTAGTATGGCTGGTATTAGCTGCACTGATAGATTATTGTGAGTAAGACCAAATATTCATCCCACCTGTTTTTGACAGCAGTCAATACCCAATGAGTAGGGAAAACAAGAAGGAAACCTGGCAAGTACAGCATGATAATTCAACTGATGTAGTATTTTGTTTCTAACAGTCTGAGTTAACGATTTTTCTGAGCTAAAGCTAACTCTGGACTACTGTGTTTAACAGCTCCAGACTTACTATCTTTAGGTCACTAACGATTCACTCTTTATATGAAATTCATTTACATTTTCAGCCTCTATAACATCCTAAAAGTGAATGCTACAGTTTAATTGTCTGTTGTGTAAGAAAACATTTCCATTAGTATGTTTTAACCCGCTAGAGAATATTTCACATGGGATGAATCCTGATTATTTGTAAGATACAATTAATATGTTCCTAACTTTCCTACTGCATGGCATACAAAATTGCAAGCATTTTTATTATATTTTCCTAACTTTTTTGATTTTCCACCTTGAGAGTTCTAATCTATTAAAATATCCCTTATGCAGAAACTATTGCCTACTGCTGATCATTGTCAACATTCTCTGCCATATCAGTAGATATACAGTATACTTTTTGAGATGGGGCGACGGAAGCACTCAAGACATAATAGCATGCTTATTTTTAAGGCAACTTATGTTTTGTGTTTGCTCTTAACAACAACTGTTCTAATAGAACATTTTTCTTCCAGATCTGTTACTCTATAATCACTGAAGTTCACTTGCTCTTTTGTCAGCATCTGCCAGTATCTCCATGTTGACATGGTAGTTGGTTGTTTTTAGGTGGGTTTTTTTTAGATATTATCCAGAAAAAATAATCATTCCATTTTTGACCTAAGAAATTTATTTCCCTGGAAGTCTTTGTTAATATAGCTTGTTGAAAGGTGCATGGAAATTCAGTTATGCTCTACCAACTGTCCTACCTTTCTCTGCATGCTGTAATAGATCTGCAAGGGATGGTGTGTCTTCACAAAACTCATGCTGACTCCCATATATACATGCTGGTTCTGTTTTTATTTACTCTTCATCAGTTTTCTTGGTAGAGAAGCCAGACTTGCAGATCCTCCTTGCAAACTCACTTAAAAAAAACTCAGGTGCTTCTTTTCTGCTTTGATACCCCTGATGTCTTGAGCTAACTTAGTTCATGTAAGGATCTGCAGTCCAATAGGTTTATATTTGGGTTAACTTTAAAATCTTTTCAAGTCTTTTGTGACCACTGGTTACTCCTGGGGATTTATTTATTTATAAATTAAATATAATTTATTTTATATTTTCCTTTAAAAAAATTTCTACTGACTCCTTCATTTGAGATCATCCTTCCATTCAAAATATTGCACAGTGGGATCAACTGAAGTTCTCCCTAGAGAAAACTGATGCAAAGTGTATGGTTATAGCTTATCTTCTTGGCACACATTGACAATCTGTATCTTCTCTGGCACGATTACAGCTTTTGAGATGCTTGAAAAAGACAACGTGTAGATTCTCCTTTGCATTTCCTAAGATCATCACTATCCTTTTTATGTGATCATTAAACTGTTCTAATGCTCTTCATACATGAGGATAGAATTTCAATTCCTATAAAAGTTATGTATTTATTGACAAGGTCTGCCTATTTACCCTATCTGTCTTTTATTTTAACTTTTCATACTGTTTCTTTAAAATAGTGACTTATTTTGCCTTAAATACAATTTATAACCTTATTAACACAACACTCCACTCACTTCCTGACGTCAAGTTTCAGAAACACCCAACATATCAGTAACACAAAGGGAAATGAGGCATTCTACATAATCATCTTTTTATTTTAGATGTTTAATATGAGCATAGAAGTACGTATTTATTCCTCAACTTCACCCGTGCTCTCCTTCTTAAGGGAATTAAAAAAAAAAAAAATCACTTAAGTGATTCTTTCACAGTATTCTTCATTCATTCTCAACTGAATTTTGCTAATTTATTTCATATCTGGTTTATAGGTATGGAATTTTTATAACCACACCTCCAAAGAAAGCTGTATACTAAATTATCTGTTACTTCAAACCTTAGTCCTCAGCTTAAAAATGCAAAAGGTTATAGGGTATTTTAAGTGCCAGCATGACTGTTTTAGACTAAAAGACCATTGTAGGTCCTTTCCAACTGAAATAGTCTATTCTATTCTGTTCTAATCTGTCCTTTTTCATAGGTTATATTTCTTAATATGTTCTTCCCATTCCTAACTTCCTAGAGTACAGATCATTTTCTTTACCAAGCACAGATCTGCATAGTCCTAGCAACATTTCTGAGAAAGCTATCATGGATATATTCTCCTCTAACTCCCTAGCAATAGTTTATCTCTTGTCTTCAGGACCCTTCTCCTAGTTCTCCTATTATACTCTTGGCTTCTTCAGGGACAAAACTTATGTTTCATACTATAGAGAAACCATGCTGGTGGGCTGCAACATATCTCTCAAAAACACACTGAGCTGGAAAAAAAAGCCAGTAACAACAACAACCAGAACAACCTCATCAAGAAAATACCTGACCTTACAAAATATTAGTGGCAACATTGAAAAGATACAGATAACCCACTTTGTCCAGAGAAGGCCTAAAGCTAAGTTGTAAGCACTACAGCTAGCCTACTGAAGAGCAAATTGGCCCTAACGCAGCAAGAACCAGTATATCCACTTGGCCTCAGGGTCACTTGCCATTTTTTATTTAGCAGTATGAAATTAATCAAGAGGACTGTCTCCTGAGACCTCTGCCTTTGTACATAGCAAAGCAGTCTTCCAGCTAGGCAATAACCTAACCATGCCTGCTGAGGAAATTTCAACTTGTCTGTCTTATCTGCTGATATTTCTGCTTCGAGATTAGTCTCAGTGCCAAGCGTGTATGACCATCATCTATCTGGCAGGGAGGTTTAAGTGAAAGAATGTTTTTTTCTGCTTTAATTAAGTATCTTTATGTCACAAGGCTTTCTTATGAGAAAGGCAGTGAAGTTGGCTGAAGGGTTTGGAACAAACACTGAGAAAATGAATTTTGGCAAAAATAAGATCAGAAACCAGTTTTCACTTGCTATGAATCTCATTTTTGAAATGAGAGAAATTTTTCAGTTCCGTGGTTGCATGTACCAAAACATTCACCGTGGTAATGCATAAACTGCAAAACAAATAAACACAGGGTCACAGACATCTTTTTCTAACACATCCTCAGACTAAAAATAAAGCGAAGTGCTTAACATTCCCATTATAACTACTTTTCACTAAATTAAGAAACTTCTACACAGTGTAAAATCTGACAATAAGCATTTTTCTCCTAGAAAATTCTATCCACTAGAGATGAATCATTTAATTGGACTGTTCATCTATTTAGTTTTTGAGGGGAAAAAAGATTTCTATTTTTCAAAAATAAACGCTATAGACTAGACAGAAGTCACGCAAAGAAATTTAAAGTTTAAGGTAATGCAGTCAAATTACTTCTGTTTTTTTTTAAAAGAATACTCCAAAGGATATTGACATTTTTGCTACAAACTTATCATGCTTATCTTCCGGAATTGGAAATGTCTGCAAATCCTTCTCAAGCTGTTGGAGTTGCTTCTCCATATGCTTCAGGCTCTTCTCCAGGTTTTCTGCTGAGACTAAAACACAGAGCATTCATTCTGTTAACACCTTAAACAAGAAACACTGTAAAATATATGAGTTAAAACCTTACAAATTCAGCATACTATGTTTTTAATTCTAAAATGAAAGCACGCTGAACAAATTACAAGATGAGGGGTTCAGTCTACAATGTTCAGTCTACAATGTTCAGTTCCCCTCACTTACACAGTTGCCTTATTCTGATTAGATGTATGCTGTTTGAACACTGCATTTTGTTTTATCTTTATGCCTAAGGTTTTGCACTGCAATTAGCAGTCTGTTTTAAATAACCTGAGATATACATATGCCAGTCTGTCTCTTCTGATTAACCAAAGGACAAGTTTTGAAGCTACTCCAAGAACAACAAAGCTTTCTTCAATCTCATTCTGTTGAAATAGAAAATACGAACATTTGTATGTAATATCATGAGGAAAATAAGACTCTCAAAACAGAGAAAATGAGGCTATTAAACATCTATGCATGAAACTAAGACTCAACTCCCTAGTTCGAAAGCATGATCCCTGGTAAAAAACACAACAGAATTTGTCAGAGCAAAATCTTTCTTCTTGCTTGCCAAGCTAGAGGAAAACGCAAGCACTTAAGAGGGTGCAGCAGAGCATAACAGGGACTTACGAAAGAGAAAAGAGTAGACAGGAAGCATCAGAGATTTATAGAAGGATGTGGAAGAATCACAAATTTCCTTTATCAGAAAAAGAGAAACACAACTTTCAACCATCTGAAGCATGCACGGAAGTTGAACACTTGATCCGTAAATAGTTGATTAAAATATCAAGACCACATGAATAACCTGAGGATAACTCCTGTTACCATATATTCTATCTGGTATTTATATTATTGAAATCAGTTAAACTTTATTTCCTGACTGTTTATGAAGTAAACTTAACATTTAAATATGTTCTGTAGGAACAATATATATAGATAAGGACATATTCTGAATTTTAATCTAATGACTTGACTTCTTCTCTTCTCTTCTCTTTTAAATTATTTATTTCATTAATAATATTGTACCTATAAAGGTAAAGCTACCTTAAACTTCACCTAAAAAAATCCCTGGAGAAAATCTGTGGCCCTATGATGCTACTAAGATCCGTAGTGGATCCATTATTTCATCCTCTGAGTAGAGTTATGTGATAGAGAATATAAGACACACATACAGAACACATCTTTCTCTCATAAAAGCCTGATGGAGTCCCTAAACAACTAGAGTAAAATGTTGCATAGCAACTACAATACCATTCATAGCAGAAAGGTTAACACAACTATAAAATGATCAATGGCAACCCGTTAAAATGCTAATGTAACCTAAAAAAAAACAAAACCCAAACAATTCAACTTTCCAAAAAAGAATAAGGGAATATATATTATAATTTATAACTCATAATTTGATTTCTAATCACAATTTTTAAAACTCTCTGTTTACTCAAAAACACTGTTTTCCAATCAAATGTCAGACTTGGCAGATTTTCACTCAGTAATTGGTAAACCCAAATTCATCGCCAGGTGGGTCAGTTGGCTACAGTAGTTAAGAAACTGCCTTGTTTGGGAAGCAGAGCTAAAATTAGAAGCTGACTATGTTGACTACATGTGTTTCAGTCTTAGCAGTTTCCAGAAACAGCCCCCAACATAAGAAAGACATGGACCAGTTGGAACAAGTCCAGAGAAGGGCCACCAGGATGATCCGAGGGCTGGAGCACCTCTCCTATGAGGACAGGCTGAAAGAGTTGGGGCTGTTCAGCCTGAAAAAGAGAAGGCTTCGGGGAGATCTTATAGCGGCCTTCCAATACCTGAAGGGGGCCTACAAGAAAGCTGGGGAAGGACTTTTCATAAGGACAACTAATGACAAAACAAGGGGAAATGGGTTTAAGTTGAAAGAGGGCAGGTTTAGATTAGATATAAGGAAGAAGTTCTTCACTGTGAGAGTGGTCAGACACTGGAACAGGTTGCCCAGAGAAGCTGTGGCTGCCCCCTCCCTGGAAGTGTTCAAGGCCAGGCTGGATGAGGCTTTGAGCAACCTGGTCTAGTGGAAGGTGTCCCTGCTGATAGCAGGGGGGTTGGAACTAGATGATCTTTAAGGTCCCTTCTAATCCTAACCATTCTATGATTCTATGATAGTCATACTTCTGCTCTCATAAGAAGCCTGTGAGGGTAAGCACACACAGTTTTAAGACACTGATGTACTTAGAAAGCTGCTAAGAAACACAGAATATAATACCTTGTGTTTAATCTATCAATAGGACTCTTCACAATATAGTTTCTCTTACATAAAACAGTTCACAGCATAAAATTAAAGTGACATACTTACAAAATGTCAGAATTATCAGACTCAGCAAGTACATGGGTTTTTAAAAAAAGCAAAACCAAAAAAACCTCTACAATAACTGCAGGTATCAGCTAAGTGAGAGCTACATTCTTTCACCGATAAAAAACCAAAACAAAACACCTCAGTGCCTAGAACTGGTTAACAGGTGGTATACAAGAGATTTTTAAATTCTTGCTTTCAGCAAAGACAGTTTTTTATTTCTATTACTTCAGTTCTTTTGACCTTGAACAGTTACATATTTAATCAAGAATCTTTATATCTCTGTCTTGTTCTGACGGCTTTTTTTCCTCTGTCATGATCTTAAGTTGTTCTTGAATATAAAAATTCAGCATTCCTTTGATTTCAGCAGTGCACAGCTATTAGATGTATTTTTCTTTAAGACTATGTTTCCAGTGACAACCTCAAGCAGGGACTAGCTGACAATATGCTGGTATTACTTTGGTATTATTGTCTTTGCAACTTGCAATTTAGTGAAAATAGATGAAAAAAAAAAAAAACAAACCTAAAACTGTAAATATAAGCAGCTCTTCAACAAAAAGATCATGTAAAATACCTGCCAACCTTCCCTCGTGCCCCTCTAGAAGACATGGTGTAAAATCTAGACATAGAAAAATAGCAGAACAGAAAAAACAAAACAAAACAAAAAAACCCTAACTTTGACCCATAACACTGTGAGGATTCAGATATAAACCCAAGCCAAATTGAAGTATGCAACTCATATGACAAAACAAAGACTGAGGTTTTGAATGTTAGTGAGCCCAGAAAACCAGGTTGTTTGTTGAGTACAACGTATGTGTCCCTGAACGCTCTCTCCTTAGAGAGTGGAATGACAAACATTTCTCCTTAGCCTTAGAACAGAACTCTCATACCCGTTTTTCAAAAAAGGTCCTGATATTTCTATAGGCAATAATTGTATTTCCTCATCTGCCACCCTACAGGGTTAAGATAACTTTGTTCTTAACGTTTCCTCTCTTGATTTAGGATTTCTAATACCATGATAATTCCAGAAGCATCTACACCTGCTTCTGTTTTGAAATCTTTCTGCATTGTTATCTCAAGTGATGACTCATCAGCCCTTTTAAAGTTTGTATTATTGTTTTTACAGTTATACTGGAAATACCTTATCTGATTATCTTACAATAAAATATCCTTTTTTCTTGACCAAAGCTCTTATTACAGTATCAAGATGCATGACCTTGTACATTGTACTATTGATTTTCATTTCTTTTACTCTTACTTCCGCAGGATCATTCAGAGAGGACAACCAAATCCCCTCTCAGCCAGCAAAGCGGTCTAACCCTTTTGTCAGATTTGCTCATTGCTTCAATACCACAATTATGTTTTTTTTCATATTCCTTTTAGACAGTACTTCATGTTTCTTGCATTTTTATTCTAATGAATATTCTCCCATTTTGCATAATATCAAATGCTTTTTTGAAGTCAACATAGCTTTCACGTGTCAAAAAAAAAAAAAAAATCAAAGCTAGCAGATTAGTCTGCTACCAATAAATTCATTTTTATTTCATGCTCTCATTAACTTCCATGTTTGATTCTTCTTTCCTTTATAAAATTTCACATGATTAAGGTCAGACAAAGAGATGTGTAAATGTGCATCATCATTCACCTCAGTTTCTTAAATATTCTGTAGACACACATTATTATAGCCACAGCAAAACTTGGTAAAAAAATATACTTACAAAACTTTTAGTTCTATATCTCAGTTATCTCTGAATGCAGAAATGGAAAGTGGTATTTACAATATGAGAATATGGTACTCTGACTCCTTCTTTCAACAAATTTCTATGGAGACATTTTGCTTCCCTTTCCCCCATTCCCAGATCATTACTCTTGCTTAAAATTAAAGCAATACTTCATCTAGTTTTCAGACTATACCTGTTTTATCTTAAATCCTAGTAATAATTCTCATCTATATTGCTGTAAGCCTTCTGCTACTTCTTGTAACAGATATTTCAGCTGGTATTTCAGAAATCCTACATGCTCAACCTGTCTGACAATTTTCTTGGATGGTCACAATCTCCATATGAAGATAATTTTCCTCTTGCCTACAGACATTCCCTTGTGCTATTCTGACCCCTATATTCTGAGGGAAGAGTGTGACAGCAACAAGCTGATTATCTAGCCTGATGCAGAAAATTATACCATATTATTAAAAAAAGATATATATTCTGAAAATAAACTGCTGCTTTTGTAATTTGAAATTCATACTGAACTGATGGACAGAGTTTACTGAATAATTCTCTAAAATTGCCAACATGCTCTTGATGCAGCATTTAAAAGTTAAATTACAAAATATTGCCTAATCCATCCCCCCTCCAAAAAAAACTAAAAACCAACCAAACAAAAACCCCTCTGTACTGTCAGATGGTTTAGAGCACTAACAAAGAAATATTCCAGAGGCAAAATATTATGTTTTTGTAAATATCAGAAAAGGCCTGGAATATCCATTAACAGTGGAATAAGACCTAGTTTGATAAACTCACTCAGTGTCACAAAATACTGAAAATACAATGTTTATGCTTTATGTATCCCAAGATGACATTTTCTCTCATCTTCTACAGACATGTCTGGCTTTCTCAACGGTTTTTTGGTTGGTTTTTTTTAAGTGCATGTGTGTGTAACAGGCACATACAATAATCT